TGCAGTCTCTGCTTCCCGCACCCCCTGCTCCTTCTCCCAGCCTGGCTGGAACCCAAGGGGCCTCTTACATTTGTTTCTACTCAATTAAGTGAGTCTGCTGGAGTGTTCTAATCAGAACGCTCCAACATGCTGCGGCGTCTCATGTATTCAATGTCTCTACATTTCAAAATGGCTTGTTGAACAAGTTTTAGTTAAAGCACCCCTGCTGTGATTTTGAAATTTGGGACGCAGAAATACATGAGATGCTGCAGGTGTTTTAATTAGAGAGACTTCTGAGAGCTGCTCTAATTAAAATGTCCCTCCTCCCCACTCTAGAGCCCTCCTCCCCACCCCAGAGCACATGTACAGATGCCCCAAGAGTTTCCCTAACCTCTTGGTTAGGGCACTTTCTTGGGAAGTGGGTTTTAATACCCTTAAAATGAGGAGGGCCTAGACCCCAGGTCTCCTACTTCCCAAATTAGTACACTAGCTATTAGGATATCAGACAAAAGGCAGACACTTCCACTTCCTGCTCCTCCTCTGCTACTGAGCGGCAGGCATGGTCCCAGTGACTTTAGGTACCTCCCCAACTGATTCAGGTTACAAAAGCACTTAGGCAGGAATTAGTCCCATTGCCAACTGATCTGGATCACTTCTGAGTATGTGCAGTTGCCCAGGCATAGGCACTTAGGGTTGTTTCCAGGACAAAATGGAGTCAATAATTAATCTAGGCACATGGGCAGTTTTGCAGCTGCTGGAGTGGGGTTGATCTTAATCATTTTTGTGGCTTGTTCATCAATATTCTGTTTAAATCCTATTTATGTGCCCACAAGGCCAATCTGGTCTGGCATCCATGGCACTGATACTGTAATCTAGTAGAACTGAAAAATCTTTGAGGAATGGAACACTTTCACAGCTTTGTAATACAGCTCTTCACCTGTTTGAAATCTATTGAATTTTAACTTCAGTGTTCTAACACTCTATCTTAGCAATGAAAACTGCCAGCTAATTTCTCAAAGTCCAGCTCGGTGCTGTACTTCAAACAGCTGTAAGGATTTTCTGGTTTTTTTGCAAGGACTGTGCGCTACAGAAAAACAATCTTTTGAGATCTAAACATCCCAAAATGGTTCAAATTTTAGAGTAAAAGAGGAGAACTTTACAATATTTTTCATTCTTCCTTCTGCATTTTCCTTCCTTCCTTCTGGTATTTATCAGTTTCTCCCTTTGATTATAAACTCTTGGGACTTGGGATTGTATCCTTAAATCAAAGGGATAAATGCTATTTATATTTAGACACATCTATTCCACTACTTAAGAACTAGTGTGTTAAGGTGATTGGAAAGGAGTACTAATTTGGTTGGAATCTTAGGAAACAAGCTTCAGCCAAGCTGTTAGTCTGAGGGAGGGCTGTTCAAATGGTGGCTTGTGAGTTGCATGCAACTCATGAGGGTTTACATTGCAGCAGATAACTTTAGAATTATGAACTTTTAAAAAAAAAATGAAAACTTTGGAGATCTTCAGGCAGAATCTCAGAAGTGCTAAAATATTTTAACTATTTTAGAAATCAGGCCTAATCAGGTCTGGGCTATTGCAACCGGCCAGTTCTGAAGTCTGATTAGATTATTAGTAGCAGGAGAAATGTAAATAACCTCTCATCTATTGTGAAAACTGGATTAAGTGGAGAGATCTATAAGAACAGCTTTGTTAAATGAGGAAATTAAACAAGATGTGTAGGGCTAATTTGACGACCTTTTGCTAATACCCATAAAACCACAAACAGAATTCTGAATGGGGATGGAGTAGAAAGAATCAAGTAAGCAATATACTACAGTCTGACTGTCTCAGTAGTCTTAACCTTTTCTGAATGTACACCAACTGATTTTTAATGAATGTTAAGAATTATATATTTAGATGGGTTTTTAATTGGCTTTTATTACTCGCAAAAAGTTTTGCTTCAAGTTTTTTTTTTCCCTTTCCTTCTCAGGATATAGAGTCTTCAGTCCCAAAATCACCAGTCAGAATCTTGCCCCAAGTCACTAGTGTCTGAAAAAAACATTCTCTCTGATAACTCTTTGGTGGCTTAATCAAAATAAAGTGTTGATCCAATGATAGTTTCTAATGACGTAAAATTGTCCTCATCTCAAAAACCAGCATCACACTTAATGTTATCTGGCTTCTTGCATGGCATTCCTAGCAAATGGGTAAGGAAGTCTGTATTGCTATGTTGCTTGTGTCTGTAAATTAAACAGGTTTTCAGTTTCTAGTATTACGCTGGCACTTTTCATAAGCATGAAAGTCACAAAATTGAAAAAGAATAAGAAAACTGATAAGACTTAATATATAATTTATTTGATGGAAAAAAGTTAAAAAGTAACTACAAGTACAAATATGATAGATATTAATATTCCCCAAATACTTGCAGAT